TGTTGAAATCTCCCCAAGTTGAACATAAAATGACAAATAATAATTTGCACAACATAAATTTACTAGCACCTTAAATTGTCTGTTCACTGAATTACCTCAGAGGACTGAGAGAGACGAAGCTTGCTGCTTTTCACAAGGAACAATAAACTCATACAAACTGAGACAGGTTTCACTGCCTGATGTTGCTTGGAGAAAAATCATAATAATAACTGGTCTACTACCTACCCATTCATTAGCAGCAATTACACTGTATTAATGTTACAAATTGCTATTGAAAGATGTTACCAAGCTAGAAGCTCTCAGTTTAATTGAAAGCACTTTTTTATTTGATTACTAATGGCCCTGTGTTATAATATCAATGACCTGCATGAGAAAATTGCTTCCCCAAAGGGATCTTTTTGGCAAAAGAACTCTGCTGGAAGACAGAGCTTTCCCCCTGCCTTTGGGAGCAGTGGAGGCTTCAGCTTTTCTGTGGCATGCTGAACGCCCAAGGGCAGGTAAGGAAAAAGTGGTCAAGGATTTTTTCCATACCCAAAGGACAGCATTTTATAAATTATTTTGCCAGAAGATCTAAAGGAGCTTGGGGCTTGATGGCAACATGGAGCGAGCGACTGGTCACGTGTAGGATGCAGCAGCAAGGAGAGGGAAGAGAATGTCTGCAGAAGGATGGTTTTACAACCTCCAGCAAGGAGGTTTTCACTATAAGCCCATCACTCCACAATCTGGGACATATAAGTGTTTTTTTTTTTCATTGTGTGCAGCATCTTTTGTTTCCAAGATAAGCATGTAACTAGCTGAAAGAAAATGCAGAGAGGCTCATCTAGTAGGTTTCCATCTTGCTGCCGTTGGCGATCCATTAATGAAGTCTAATTACAATGTCAAAAGCCTATGTTCTATCCCAGTGACTAATTGACTTTGGAGATGCAAGAGCTCTTTTGTTGTTTTAATCTGGGAGAATTGAGAAGGGAGGGAAAATAATTGTTAATTAGTTTAGTTCTGCTTTATCTGCAACACAAAACAAAATATTAGTTACAGAAGCAATTCTATGCCTGATAATATATCTTGGCCCTCCTGCCATTGTGGAGCACTGGAAAGGCATTATTTTCTGTTTACACATGCAAACTATTTATGGCCCACTCCTACATTGTGTTCCTTGTGAAGGATTTTACTGTGTGAAGTAGGCAGGGTGATGCCACAAGGTTAGCTTGGGCTGAGGTTTTCAATGAGTAAGAGCCATAGTACAGAGAAATATGAAGATTGCTGCTTGACTGATTGGATGGATGGATGAATGGATGGATGGATGGACAGATAAGCTCCTAGGGAAAGATAGATCTAATGGTATGCTTGCCATAAAAACTGAAACCAAGAGGTGCTATGTCTGCATGTAGGAACAATTCTTTGCAGCTTTCAGAAGTATTGCTCTGAAATAAGGAACTTGCTGATTTAGGGACACACCGCGTCTCCTAGGTCCTTCCTCAAGGTGACCTGCAGAGGTTTGAAGGAGCCCTTCACGTCCCAGTTTGAGTCACTAGCCCCTAGGCATGGTCCTACCTGGATCAGCCTCCCTGGAAAGGGCTGGGGATTGTTTTGCTCCACAAAGACATGAACACCTTTGAGTTTTAGGAAACTTTTTGGATTAAACTGGTAATGGGCAAGGTAGGCTGAATGGATGCAGTTTTCTGTGGAGGTGGAGATCCAGCCTGAACTTTACATGAATTTATCCCATTACCAGAAAAAGTCAGGCAAATGGCTTAAACTGCAGAATGACAATAGTAATATCTTATCATGTAGACGTTTCCATGTGCACCATGACAGGAATTAAAATCAAATTCATCATTTAGTTCCTGAAACTATTAAATGTTACTTTAAAGGCATTTAAGGAATAAATAGGCATAATAGAAAATTAACTACAGGAGCTCATTTCCATGATTGGCAAAGTGATTATAGCTGGAGGAAAAAAAAAAAAAAAAGAAATATAATGCTGTCATCACCTTATCAGATGGAAGTGAATTGCCTCTGATCAGCTGTTAGACTGAAGAGACATAGAAAATACGGAGAAAAACAGAGTAAAGTAATAAGAAGTCCAGAAATATGTCAGGGAACCTGAACATTACTTTAGACCATATATTCTACGAGGACTAGATGAGTATAAGGCTGTATGAACATGACAGAAACAGCAACTTCACTGGTCAAAAAGTTCTGTTTTCTTTGAAACCCTGTGTCACAAGGCAACAGTTTCAACATAGCTAAAGTCTCATCTAATTTCTGAGAGTAATAAATGAGGCTCCTAGCTACACCCATGTGGTTTTCCTGGATCCCTCTGCCTTTTTCAAAACCTAGTTGCTTCCTGGAGTTTCTTCTGGCCAGAAATTGCTGTTATCTCTTTTTCTGACTTTGTTATGGTAACCCCCCCCTCTGATTCATCCCTGGGCATATGGTGCTGGAAGGATTTTTGAGCCCAGTCCATTACCCAGTAGGGGGCCATGGTGAGAACTGTTAAATATTTCCATCATCTCTGATGTTTTCTGGGTTATACTTGAACCTGGTTTCAAACAGGGAGAGACAATAGGATCAACAACTCATTAGGCAACAGTGAAAAGGTGATACATAGTCTTGTCTGATCAACTGCTGGGCTTCCAGATCTCCTCATCCACAACTCATATGGATCCACTATTCCTGACTCAAGGGCATGAACCATTACAGCCCTATATGTTCCCCCTTATTCTCACACTTACCTCCTGGATTATTTCTCACTTGCTTCCTCACCAGTCCCTTCCATAGCTTGTTTCTGTAACACTTTCGATCCGCATGAATACAGGATCATAGGATCACGGAATGGTTTGGGTTGGAAGAGACTTTTCAAGGTCCTCTCGTCCAACCCCCCTGCACTGAGCAGGGACACCTCCAACTAGATCAGGTTGCTCAGAGCCCCGTCCAGCCTGCCCTTGAATGTTTCCAGGGATGGGGCATCTGCAGCCTCTCTGGGCAACCTGTGCCACTGTCTCACCACCCTCATCATAAAAAATTTTTTCTGTGTATCTAGTCTGAATCTACCCTGTTTTAGTTTAAAACCATTACCCCTTGTCCGATCACTACAGGCCCTACTAAAATGTCTGTCTCCCTCTTTTTTATAAGCCCCTCTAAGTACTGTTTGGCTGTAGCACGGTGCTGATACACAATGTTATTCAACAGCAAGGTGAGATTCTGCAATGTGTCGGGAGCTCAGCTGTTGATAGTCCTTGGTAAAAAGAGAAGTTGAGAACCAGAGCATGTGGAAGCTTCTTTTCTTCTGCTTACTGCAGAGATTTTTCTTGTCCCATTATAAATATGTTATCTTTAAAATGGAAAGTGATTCCACTAAACTGGGAAAAAGATTCCTTGGATGGCAGTAGAGGCGACTCAGTTGCCCTAGGTGAGGTGTTTAAAAGTTAGTTGTGTAGGTCTTAAGGAGTCATTATAATCTATAAAGAGAAATAGGCTCAGGTGCTGCTTTGTTGCACTAGATTGCGCATGCTAGATACTCCTGACAAGCATGCCTTTTGGTATCTATTTCTATTGAGAAACAACTATAACATGAGTGGCGCAATCTTAGAGGTCTAGATTTTATATGTGTAAAATTAGGTGACAGAATTATTATCCCTAGAAGTTCAGGGGTTGGTAGGGGATACTCTGGAGTCTGGGGTATACAAGATTTGACTGAGGACAGGGTTTTTCTATCAAGAACTGACTGCAGTCCTTGAGCTAACGCTTGGAAATGTGTTGACTCATTCATACAAGTCCAAGAGTATTGTCCTGAGTTTAAGTGAGTGGTGGGGATTTTTGGTGGCAGGGGAGGGGGCTATAAGGTGGCCCCCTGTGAGAATCTTCTCAAAGCTCCCCCAGCTCCAAGTCAGCTCCACCTCTGCACCAAAACTGAGCCAATCAGCTGTGCCTCTGTGATAATGTATTTAAGAAGGGACGTGGTGATGAGCAGTGGGACTGGTGAGGAGGAGTAGCAGCAGCTGCGTGAACACCAAGGTCAGTGGAGGAACGGAGGAAGAAAGGAGGGGGGAGGTGTGCCGGAGCAGAGATCCCCCTGTATCCTGTGGGGAGACGGCAGGGCGCCCCCCCCCCGCCACCCATGGAGATCTATGGTGGAGCAGACATTGATTTATGGCCTGTGGCTTCCGCCTGTTTGATCAAGGTGCTGTGCCTGAAGAAGGCCGGGGTCTCATGGGAAAAGGCAGCCCCGCTGCTGTAATTCAGCACTGGGAGGATTGCAGCATGCAGGGGTGTCCCACGCCGGAGCAGCTCGGGAAGGGCTGCAGCCTGTGGGAGGGACTCATGTTGGAGAAAGTTTGTGGAGGACTGTCTGCTGTGAGAGGAGGACCATGCTGGAACAGGGGGAAGAAGTCCCAGAAGCTCCCCCCACAGCAGATGGCAGAAGCGGCAGCGCTGACTGCACCCCCCACTCCCTGCCCCTGCACTGCTGGGGGGAGGAGGTAGAGATATCGGGAGCAGAGCTGAGCCCGGGAAGAAGGGTGGGGTGGGGGGAAGGTGTTCTCAAGATGTGGCAGTGCTTCTCACTGTCCTACTCTGTTAAGTGTTGTTAGTGTCTGTAATAAATAAATCTATGTTCTTGTTTTTCTTCCCCTAACAAATCTGCCTTTTGTCTGTGACCATAAAGGGTGATCTGCCCCTCCCAGTCCTATCTCGAATCCCAAGCCTGGCTCATCTGTCCCTTCGTTGGAAGAGAAGGGAGGAGTGAGCAGCTGTGTGGTGTTTGGCTGTCAACCAGGCTCAAACCACAACAAGTATAATAAATTATTTTTACTGTAAAAGAAGTTTTTTGTTTTGAGAGAAGGGTCTCAGTTTATCTATGGACCTATTTCTTCTCTTGCATTGAAATAAAATGTTGTGATGTGAGATGGAGGATTTCCCACCCACTAACAAGTCTATAAAGAGGTATTGTTGTCAGGCAACTACCTCAAAGCTTATTCAAAGAAGTAAGTTAAATTCACTTTTAAAATTTTCAGCAAACTTTTAATATTCACCCAAAACACATCTGCTATGGTGACATTTCTGAACAGGCCAAGTTATTCTATTTTCACATAGTCTCAAGTATAAATATTTTGATACAAAAAATAAAAATAAAACCCCCTCAAAACCCAACCCCTTTTGCTCACATTCAATGGTGTGCCGTCATGCCATGAATAAACACGACTTCTTCCCTCCACGCCTAGCCAGACTACAGCTGTAGATGACAGGCAGTGTTAGATGCTTCCAGTCCACATGGCTTTTTTGTCTTGCCAGTGCTGGGAATCCAGGAACAGAAGAAGAGTCTGAAAGGTGTTGAGATGAACTTGCTGGCTTTGAAGGTGCTTAGAGGTGTTGGACAAGGAAGGAGCTACTGAACTTCTGGTCAACACAGTAACGAAGGCACCGCCTTCGACTGGCAGCAGCTCCAGCAGCAGTTCCCTGTGTTTTAAGTGCTGATGAAGTTTTGTAGCTTCAGTTGAGGATGTGGAGACCAATGAGCTGAGGAGCAGGAGCACATCTCCTGGGGTTGGTGTTAACAGTACTGCCTGGCGTTATAACGAGCCACGGCCTCTGGCTGGTTGCACATTATCAGGACTTACCCAGAGCAGGTCTAGCTCAAGTGCTAGTTCACTGAGACGTTGTGAGACCATTCGCTGGCTAGGAAAGCTGAGCTTTTTTTCTTTCTATATTGCACAGCAGCTATGGATAAACCTAACTAGCAGCAGCATCCTATCCTATCTTGTCTGCAACGCACACTCAGAGATCATTACTATATTTCACCTACTTACTGACAAATGCATCATGCTTACAATAATAAGCTGATCAGCGGCTTTGATGTTTTACACTCAGCATCTGAGTTGATATTAAGTCACTTTGACTTTTAAATTAAATTATTTCATGCATAGAAACAAAAGATGCAGAAGAACACAGCAAGGATTCACAGAACTCGTAATCAAGTACTTATTAACACACGTATATATATTAAGCTTTAAATCAAAACCAAATCTTTCCAGTTTTTTTAATATATGCACTCTATATAATGCAACAAACATTAGCATGATCTAACTCTCGGTCACACACAGTGCTCCGCCTGTTTTACAATGTCTGCTCTACTGTTATACTTCTTCCCTTTTAAACAAATGCAGGTAGACTAGACTCTTTAAAAAAAAATACAAGACTCTTTTAAAAAAATACAAGCTGGCCATAGCACTGTGACTGAGCTGCCCTCCGCTACAAGTGAAGGGGTTCTAGTTTTGTCACATTAGGAAGGAGGGAAATAATATTGTTTTGGGATGTTAGATGATCTTGTTCTCCAGGGCTTCAATCCTTTTTGCCACAGCTTCCAGTGAGCAAGAGTTAAGGGGAAAAATGACAGTGCACGTTAGTGATTCATTGTTCAAGTCCTCCCCTGGCTTGCAGAACAGATAACGAATGGCACTACCTTGCTGGGAGCAGGCAGCAGAGGAATGCTCTCATCATCTACTCTGGCATTTCCAGAACTGTTCAGGCTGATGAACTTTTATTGAAGGTAGAAATTGTTTGTGCATGCACACATACTCACATGCACCTATACATTTACTAAGAGTAAAAAATGTGGGAATGATTGGACTGCATTTTGAGTGGTTGACAGAGAATTCCTGACCTTGAGCATATGGGTTGTGTGAAGAGTGGAGCAGAGTGCTTTTCTCAGAGTTACACAGTGTGTCTCAAATTTCTGCTCTTTTCATTAATTGCTTTTCATGATGTGTCTGGGAGAAGCAACACACTGAGTGATAACTACTGATTTAGTCTGACCTTTTGCATAACGTAAGTCATGGATTTCACTCAATTTGAGTTAAAAAGTAGAAAAAATACTCTTCAGCTAACATAGCAAAGCACAGAAATGTGTGAATAAACTAGAACATTGCTTTTAAAATTATATTCTCTCTTTATTCTCAATAACGAAAAATCTCCCCAGCCCTGTGTGAGCCACCCCAAAGTTTCACTAATTCCTCTCTTCATGAGAAGTTTGAATCTTATTCACAATTTTTTTTTATTGTTTCTCTTTCAACCACTTATTCATGGTCTTTGTGCATATGACAGGACCCAGCATGGCAGAATGCCATTCCACAAACTCAGTTCAGATGGGATCCAATTCACCACACTGGAGATGTCTGCAGCGAGCAGTTACATGAGAGTTAATCTCTCAGAACTGAGTTTTAGCCAGCTGGGAGAATTTGGACCTACCCATCTGACTATTGGACCTATAAATCTGAATTTATCCAGACCGCAAACTACACAGTCAGAGGTGGTTTGCTGTAGAAGACCCTCTTTCCCTTCAGTGCTGTGAAGGAGTTTAGGCAGCCAGCTTGGATGTTTGCATTGTAAGCATTTACCATCATAAAAAGAATCCCATCCATGGAGCTTTAATGACTCAGTGAACCAGCTGCATGTGTGAACCAGTGGTTTTGTCTGCTCACAGTCCAGTGTTAGCCACTTCTGCTCTCATTCTGGCCTGCTTTGCAGGACCTGCAGCTTGCAGAGGTAGCAGCATCATCCCATGCATGACCCATGTGTCCACACATGTCACATTGGCATCATTTAAGCACCTTTCTAAAAACTGACCTAGGTCTTGGTGCCTACAGCTCATTGCTGTCTTGTAATGGTATGACACGTTCTACATGGACTCTTTTTTTTAGGGTCTACTTATTCTGTGTCACACCAGTAGCTACTCACTCTGGTGCAGGGACTCTGGTTATACACATTCATAACCCAAGTGTCTTGTTTCTCAGCTTCCTGAACACCTACCTAATCTCCTCCCCCCACAAGTAGACTTTCCCCACTGGTCCTTCCAGAAAGAACAACCAAACCCACTGAGTTCTGAACAAAGACAGATTCTGAAGGATATATTTCTGCTGCAATGAATTTATGATGTCTTCTACTTTTGTCTGGAACTTCACAATAGATTTACATTCACATGGATCTTCCTCTGTGGATCAGAATATCAAGAGGATGAGTTAAGTGGCACAAAAAAAAAAGGATTAAATCAAATCACTGTGAGAAGTGAAACAAAGCAATCATTATTTTCTTTATCAGAAACAGGAAGGAAATAAAAATATCATTCCTTCTAAATATCTGACTGCTCACTTCTGGCTTTATCTTCAGACAAGTAAAGAATCTCACATTTTCTTGCTATACAGGCCAGGCTCTGTGCACAGTCTTTCCTGGATTTCTAGTTTCCTCAAAAGCCATTGAGCTCAACCACTGGTGCTTAAAGTTTGCCCCAAACATCTGAATCTGACCAAATACAGTGCTCAAACCAACCTCTGTCTTCCCAGTAACATCACCATAATGGTCCATACACTTATTTTGTGAAATAAAAATGAGGGCAGTCTTTACCATCTGAGAGCCAAGAGCTGTTTGAGCTTTGCTTCAGCACTCCATTTCTTGAGCAGGTGGAGCAATGTGCATTAATCAGTTTGCTAATCTATGTCAATAATTTGCATATGTTCTTTGAGAAAAATTAACTTAAACTGGAATAGGAGCAAAAAAGGGTGATAAGATGACTGAGAAAAGAATGGAGATGTTTACAAGACCACACTAAGTCAGCTCAACTGCCTAGCAAATGGAAGGAGTAAATAGGAGAAGGACTTCTTAAAGGAAAGGACATGGCTTGCTCAAAACCACAACAGGATTAAACCAGCCTTGGGTAAACTAAAACTGGCTATTAAGAGAGATTTCTAGCCATCTGTTGATAAATACAAGCGGTACTGGAAATCAAACAAATAGAAAGCTTTTCTTTCCTTTTTTTTTTTTTAAAAAAAAAACACCTGAAATGTTAAGATTTTACAAAAATTTACTTTTTTGCAAACAAATACGTTTTCTGAATTTTTTTTTCTTTTGAATGCTGAAGCCTAAATATATTTGCTTTCTTGACAGATATTTAAATACATTGGGGGGTTTTAATATACCTCCTATCACCTTGTTCTTGGATCAACTCTTACTTTTTAAAGTAGTCATGGCAAAGAGAGTCTCTGTCTTGCAAGCCTGGCTACCAGGCTCTGCAGACACAGGACTGTGGAGAGAGTTGTCCCTCTCAGACTTCTCCAGGAGGAAAGGAAGGTCCCATCTTTAGTATTCTAGAGAACAGGGCACTTGTTCAGCATGACCCAGGAGATCCATAAGGATGCAAGGAACTGAATCTGATTTTCCCGAGGCAAGGCCCCCAACTTCCCAAGTACTTTTTCTCCCTAATACACACTCAAGGAGAAAAACAGATGAGTCACTTACTGCCAACCCACTAATATTTACATGGATATTTTTTGGTTTTGGCACAAATAGTCAGGTTAGAAATTGCAAGGAAAAGGAAAAAAGAAATTTACATTTGGCAATGTGTATTATTTCATCCGGTTTATGCCATAGAGCGTCTCCACATGCCATGAGAGAAGTGGAGATCTCTGCATCGTGTGGGTCCATGGGGCACTGAAGAGCAGGTCTATACACTCATGGGAAGTAGTGCTGAACTTGGCAGAGCTCTCTTGGGAACTAAATGAGCCCCGTCAGAGCTCTGTGCAATGTATCTTGCTGGGACCTGGAAGGAAATATTTGCCTAGCAGGATAAAAGAGCCTGAGCACCTGGACTCAACAAGAGTGCCAGGTTCCTGATGAGCCTGGCAGTGTAGCTCTCAGAAGTGCTGAAAGGTATTCAATGTCTTAAATGAAGCCTGAGTGTTTGGGATTCACTATGATCTGCCTGAACAAGCAGATGCATTGGAAAGGGCCAATATTTCATAGGAGGCATAGGATTCTTTCAAAACAAAAATCTAAAATAAGTGTAGTAGTTCTTTTTTTAATAATTTTTAGACTCAAGTTATTTACAGGTCAACGTTCTTTACATTTTATGTTATTCTTTACCTCCTCTTGTCATGCCTGTCTCCCACTTAGTCCTCTCTTGGCCTTTGCTTCACTAGGTTATCCAAATATGAGCAATTTAGCATTCATGCTACCCAAATTCGGACATCTAAAAGTCACATAGAAGATACTAAATGCTTATTTCCACTTGAAACATGCCACCCCTGTGGTGCCTGTTTGACTGTAGAAGCAGCCAGTGGTTGTCAAGCTTCAACTCAGATGTCCAGTTTTGTGATGATTTTCAAATTAAGCCAAATAAATCAATCCTTAGCTTCTCTTTTAAGAGCATCTCTTCCTTCCTTTTGGCTATTCTCAGGATCTCATACAGCCTGAGTTCATAATTTCTGAAGAGGACAGTGGAGAAAGGGAGAAAGGTGGAGAAAAAGGGAAAACAAAGGCAGTTTGTGAGAAGGGGAGATGGCTGAGGTGTAGGGTGGCTGTGGTTCAGGTAACCACCCAAAATGTTGATGTCTCATGATCCTGCCATATACTCTGCCAACTCAATGCACTGAGAACAGAGAGCTTTTTGTAACATCCATCTGACGGGGCATTTTTGTCCTTCTGCTTCCAGCCTTCAAATACTGTGACTAAATCCCCCCTCTCCCCAATCCCCCACTCTCACCAATGCAGATTTTCATTTGTAGCTTCTTCCCGATCTTGCTGATGGTTCTGAAGTCAGCTGTGTAGAAGTAGTGCTCGGCTACTGGTTCTGAAGCAATTTCCCTCAGCTCATCCTCAACTGCGTTGCCGACTCCCACAGCAAACATCCTAAAGCCTGTGAGCAATGGGAGCCTGTCAGTCGGACAGCCACGGAGCATGTTGCTATTATGGTATCCACCCCACTGTCAGTTTGTACATCCTTGCTCATCTTCTGGACCCCCGGTCTCCACACAGCTCTGCAGATGTTAACTGCAAAATGAACCCCCTTACCCTCTACTATTATAGCCTTCTTTCAGCCAGGTTGGCGAGGGTTCCAAAATATTTTTGCAGGCAAAGTCTTACTAGAATTATCCAGCCAATGACCACTATCACCACAAGAACAATGTTTTGGAGATACAAGAAAGGACAGATGATCATATCATAACACCCTGACAGGATCATGCATCCAACTAATATGGAAGTGATAATATAGTAAAAGGAAACAGTGGAAGTTTTCAAAATAGCCTGCAGTCACCATTAATCAGCCTACGTAGTGACAAAGTCCCCTGTGCAACGGAGCTCTGTGGTTCACCAAAACTGTAGCTAAATCTCTTTCTAAAATTGCAACTCATATAGTCTGTCAACAGCAACCCATACTGTGGGTTAAGAACATGTCCAGGTACTGTGCTTCACTGTCAAGGGACTGATTGGCCACCTCTTGCTTAAACCTGTTTCTATTGAACTGAACTGCAGTTTTGCCATTAACTTGAATGGTGATTCTAGTTAACCCCTGTTTTGAAATATTTCTTTCTACTTGTCCATGTCCAGACACTGATAATGCTTTCCCCTCCTCCCCTTTTTGTCCTGTCTTTCTCCCTCTGGATGTATCCAATACTTGTTTTCTTCGAAGCTCAACTCATGGAGCTTGTTTGGAGTCTAGTTATAAGCACCTTGTTATTTATCCCACTGAAATAACTTATGAACAGATGCTAGAGATTTCTGTGTAGGGACAAAATAGGATTTAAAAAGAAGGCATAAAGTTTTATCATCACAGAGGAATAAATTCTATACATACAGTTTATAAGGACCTTTTGATTTGTAAGAGCTGAACATCCACATAACATGTCAAGTTGCTTTGTAAACATCAGCTTTTCATCAGCTCATACCTGACCTTTATTATTATATGCTAGCCCTTAGTCCCATCTAGTGGTCGAGACTGAAGTTAAAAGGAATTAAAGGATTTAGCAATTCATGAGCGTATTCACAAGAGCTGAATCCATTTAACGCAGAGATGTCAGGAGACTGGGAACTTGCTCAGGAGGTCAGCAAAGGGGCAGATCTCAAGATATTTATACTTCACAGTGTTTAGGCACGTAAATATATCAATATGTAGCCACTGTGCACTTTTAATATTCCAGCAGAAGTTGAAGAAAGTTTCTTATTAATGTGCCTGGGATTTCAACAGGGAGTCCATGGATACTCCCTTAATTTGTATTTCTTCTTTGTTTATTGTTTTATTTCTTCTTTTTCTTTTCCAGGCCTTAAGGCTGACACAGCCAAGCCACAACTCTCGTTGGCCCTACAACTCTCATTATTCCCCCAGGGACTCTCTGATGGTCGCCTTTGCCTCACCATGAGTGCCACTGATGCTGACCTGACTTTCATTACCAACATCAGAAGAAACCTCAGCTTTTCCCTGCGGTTTCCTTCACATTTGTGCAAAGTATGCTAGACCAGTGCACATCCCATACCAAGTGTGTGAAACTCCATCCTGCTCAGCAGAGACACCTCCAGCAGACTTAGACCAAAGACATAGTGGGGCTGTGGGAACACAGACCAGCTGCTGGCAAACCAAGATTCATCTGAACCCCAGCCAGAGTTGCTCCAAGTTCTTTATGAGCATGCAAGTATAGTCAGACAACAACTCAACAAAGTCACTCTATAGTTACCTGTTTCTATCCTAAGTAAGAGACATCTCCAGGGAAAGACCCATACCTAGGTTGATACTGGATTTACTACCTGGTCCAAGAGATAAACAAGACAGTCAGAATTTAGTAGACCTACCTAAGTCTTTGGCTTTCTTAGCAGCATCAGTGATGTAATCTTGTGACCGTCCATCAGTGAAGACTATGCCCACCTTGGGGACCCCGGGCCTAGCTCCATTGATGATGGAAAAGGAACTGTCAATAAGGTATTTCAGAGCCTGGCCCGTCATTGTTCCTTTCTCCATGTAGGCCATTTTCTTGACTGCTGCTTTGATGTCCTTCTTGTTCTTGAACTGCCCCAGTGGAAACTCCTGTCTGACAGAACTGGAGTACTGAACCAGGCCAACTTGGGCCTGTTTGTCTGACACTTCCAGTGAGTCCACAATTTGGTTGATGAACTTCTTCACCAGCTCAAAGTTCTCAGGCCTCACACTCTTGGAGCCATCGATCAGGAAAACAAGATCCAGAGCAGATCCTGACCCACCACTGCAAGCTAAAGCAAAATATGAGAAGAGGGCAAAAGAATACAGCAACTAAGATCCCAATTAATTATGTAGGAAAATATAACCCTAGAGTAATTTTATCACTAATGAAATAGGTTTACTCAATCAAAACTCATCAACAGTTCACAGTAATGTTTTAAAAATAATTCTTGGTTATAAGTGCATGGTTTCCTTTTCTGCCTTTTCTGAACAGGACATATCTACCCTGTCTCAACCTTATCCCCACCATACCACTGCAGATCACAGCTCGGCTCAGTGCAAATGAAAATCATTACATACCACTGCAGGTCTTCCCATCGCTGTTCAGTGTGAAACCCTCTTTACAAGCACATTTGTATGTTCCTGGGGTGCTGATACAGATTTGCTCACAGTCATGGTCTCCAGTGGCACACAGGTCTGACACCACTGCAAGAAAAGGTGCAGATTAAAATCAGAGACTATGCCAAGGCTTCTCAACCCAGACCCTCCTCAGCCCATGCACAAAGCATGATATTTGTCCCACACTCTCAGTGATAACTAAATACGCTCTGCAGCAAGACAAAACAGAGGTCATTACTCTGGGATAGTGACTGAGATACAAGAGGCAAGGAGAAATTTTCCCAGGTCTCCTGACTCCAAGGCACAGCCAGGACTAGAAATAGTCTCCAGACTGAGGGCAAGAACCATCTGTCTGTTGAGCATATCACAATATACTTCACTCTCCAAAGCTACTGGATTATATCTGGTTTCCAACCTACCATCTGGGCTGGCCAATACCCAATCTTTCAAGGTATGTAGTACGATTATGATTAGCGAGTTCAGCCCCATGTACAGTTGTCTTTTCTGGATGGGATTCATGTGCAAACATACTTGGAATTCACTTCAGAGCTACCCTCATATGTGCAGCTTTCAGATTCGCTCTTTACAAACATTTCTGCCTGCTGATCTTAACCTGGATCTGACTTCTGAGATGCTGAGCAAACAGAAGCTGAATTGCACCAGTCTGAGCCAGCAGCATTCAGTGACTGACAATACTGTCACAGCTACAGCAATGATGATGGAAAACAAACGCGAAAGTAAACAGATCTGGTTGAACAAATTCATTTACAAATACGAGGGAAATCTGTGCAGAAAACTGAGCATTGAGTTCTATCAAAATGATGGGAGGTGGCGCAAAGTCTTTCGAAGTTAAGGGGCCTCTATTCATTATTTCAAGATGTTTGTGTTCTGCTCTGTATGTATGTTGTACTTCTTCTGGCCTTCCAGTTCATGCACCTGCATCTTGTGCCAACACTGGTAGATCTTTCCAGCATGTATGTAGCATATCATTAGGAATATTACTATGCGGATGGCATAACATTGGGCTCTCAGGTTGAGTTCTTTGAAGACTACAGAGATATTGTTAGTCTAACTAGTGGCTGGATTGCCAAGGGTCTCCCTTTTCCCCATGTGTTTGTTGAGCATTATGGGAAACAGCTTGGACAGTGCTGCACAGTTCTTCCTGCTGTCAGTACCCACAAACTGTGCTTTGCAAGAGCAGGTGGTGTTTGGGTACATCTCCAAGGACGGTTTTGTGCAGCTGCTTGCATAGCACGATAACAGCCCACTTGGCAGTTAATATGGTGCTATTCTGTTAGCTGTAATAATCCTTAGCACAGCACTTCCCTTGGATGCATCTTTGAGGGTTTTTATCATGGGGAGAACTTTCTCATCTGAATGTTACAATTTTGAAAAACAAGGCACAGAAAGGACTTTTTTCTCTTTATTTTATTGAATGAAACCAATGCCAGAACTTCAAAACACATTGTCTGGCCTCTCCCTCTCTGGCTGACTCCTGACTCCAGGGCAGCCAACACAAACTCCCACAAATATTCATGGCCTGGATGCCACCTTCTCAGCTTTTGTTTCTATCCCTCTTTTAGTAAGAAGTATTTGTTCCCCACTTTCATGAACTTCTGATGCAGCGACACCTGATTATAATACATGACTCACTTTATATTCAAAAATTTCCTCCTTCCTACAGAGAAGGAAATTTTCCTTGACAAAAAGCTACTCACCCCCATCATTTTCAGCTTGAAAGTTGAATCATGAAATTTTACACCTCTTGAAGAAATTGGTATCGGAGAGTTTTACAGGTCCATCTGTGTGTATGTGTTTGCAATGCCTTGCCACAGGCACTGTGGTGTATCACACCTTTTAAAAAGTGTTGCCACACGTCTGTGCTTCAACAAGATGGGTGTGCAAAACCCCCAGGCCTCTCTTGCTGACACATAAAATGGATATTTATAGACCACCTCCTACAGTCTTGTGGGTACGTTTGAAAGTAATAAAGCTTTTTCACTCCATTCACCAGTTCGTGTAGGAGTGACTGTGTTTGTAGGATAGTCAGGCTCTTTTTATGTGCTGTGCAGAAAGACATTAGATACTGCACCAGCCAGGAGAGTTTCCTGCCTAACAAAGCTTGCAAAAACAGCAGCATATTCAGACAAAGGCAGTTCAGACTCTAGCAGGGAAGCGAAGCCATCCCTTGCGTAACTGGGAGTTCAGAAGACAATGCTGATGGGGGAAATTACAAGCCAGAATCTCAGAACTGCCCAGGTAGGCTTAAACATAAGGGCAATGCTTTCAGCTATATAAAGATCATGTTTTCCAGGTTATTTTACAATGCCTCAAAGAGTATGTGGGTCATGTTTACAAACTCTTCTGTGCCAATGATGTCTGGAGACTTCTTTAACTAAAAGTTGAAATTTCCTAAACAAACCCTGCAATTCTCAAAAGGCAACTTCAGAGAACATCTGTCTTCCATACTGGTTCAAGCTCCTTCAGACCCAAGTACTTGGAACAAGGAAGCAGATGGATGAAGGCTGATCACACATACAACCTCCATGTGAAAAACTTGCTGGCAGCCACTTGCAGCTCTTGGCTAGGAACCCGGGGGTTGCGGCAAGGACTTACCACAGAAAGCTTCTTGAAACTTGTGGGTCAGCTTCTCTATAACACTGTAGCTCTCCACATAGTCCACATGATCATCCAGGGGCTCACTAGCAATTTGCCGCAGCGTGTGCATGTCCACCCGGCCGACCCCGATGGCAAAGATCTCGATGCCAGCTGCCCTGGCCCTTGCTGACACATCCTGCACTCCATCCTGGGGCCGTCCATCGGTCACGACGATGGCCACCTATGTGGAGTGGGGCAGAGGGAAGGTGTGTGCTTGAGTGGGCATTAATAGCACTATTGCTTGTGGAACAGGCTAGGTTAGTAAAGAAGGTTGCACATTTCTAAAATTAAAGAAAAAGGAAACGCCTCCCCTTCTTCCCATTCTTCCTGAGATCACGCAAGCCATTCTTTTATGTGGGGTTTGCTTCCTTCTGAGCTGGAAAGGTTAAACTGCCAGGGACCTGACTGATTTAATTAAGGAACAACTGGTGCATCTTGCCCCTAAGGAAACCAAAGTAAAGGTTATGTTCTTCATACTCAAACAAATGCTCAAATCAAACTTTAACTATCTTCATGAACCCCCAGCTGACACTAAGGACAACTCTAACTCGGTATGGGACTCTGAAGAATCTCAGGAAATGTCATGGAAACATCATGAGATGAAGACTTTGCACCATTTTATAGATGGAGAAGCTGACACAGAGTGGGGAAGAGATCTGCCTAAGGTCACGATGTGTGTCAGTGCCTGCCATGATTTCTGATTCCCGGTTCCACAATAAATAGCAGAGCTGAAATCCTACACCTACTAACATCAGCATTAAAATGACAGCTGGTTTAAGTGGGAACTGGATTTCACTTTGTGTTTGATTGAGCCCTGAACCAGCAGAAAGCCACCAAGAGTCCTGCTCCTGATACTAGTTTGTCCATTTTCCTCTATTTCTCTTCCAACAGGTGACATTGTCACAAAGCCTTAATTTTTGTTCTTTGCTAATTCATCTGCTCCTGCCACTTTTCCTTACAAGTGTTTTATTGTGACACCACCGACAGCTCCAGAGCAACTGACTGGGTTGTAATGCAGCATGAAGAAATATGATCAGCAGGAGCAGGTGAGTTGCTAAGCAGAAAAAACCTTCACATCACAAGAAAATATCCTCAGTAATATAGAAAGTAAAGACACATCAAATGAAAAAGGCAGAAAAAAAATCTATCTGGCAGGAACAGTGAGTTTGAATGAGCTATCATCTGGTCATTAAGGCAGTATTTGCCATTCTCCCCTATGCCATATATGCTCTCCATCTTTCTGAAGATAAAATCAGTCCCATCAGCTACCCAGTTAGGACAGTGTGATGGCTGTTTTACATCCTCAGGTGGAAAAAAGTCATCTTGGGTAAGGTCAGGAGTGGGGTTCCTTGTCCCACACGTCCAGGGGACACTGTCTGTGCAGATGAAGTGTATCCTTCCCCCTCTGCCCAGGCTTCAGCTGAGGGATGGCTGAATGCTGCAGTCATCTGCCTCAGAGTAATACTGCAATACTAAAGTAATTTGCTGTCCCATTCAGAGCTTTCCTTGTATGCAAAATATGGGTGAACCAGGAAAAATGCAGAGCTTTTCAATCTGGTGCAGGTCTGTAAGTTCAGGTGTTTATCTGCACTTTCTAAGGGCTACAAAACTGAAAATTCCTAGTAGCATCACAGTTCTGTAGCTGGTTGCTTCAGCGGGAAATAAATACATAAATTCAGGTATTTCTCTTCTGCTTGTAGCCATAATAAGGAAAAGTGTCACCTGTGGCAGATGTCAGTGTGTGTTGTAAAGGGGAGCGAACACGACAATCGAAGATCAACCAAAAGGAGCACAGGGGCTGTTTCTGGCCCAGCAGCCGGGCAAGGAGCGGGGCCAGCCATGCAGTTGTGCTTTCTGCCAGGAGAGAGAGCCCTCGCCTCAGCCGCTCAGCTCTGCTCCCTGCAGAGCAGCAGCTCTGAGATGGGGGCTGCCAATTAAAGCTTATCAAAAGCCAACCTGTCAGGAAACAAGATGTGTTATCAAGTAGCTTCTGTGAGCAACACCACCCTATAAACAGGTTTCTGTCAGTAGCTGAGTATCTTTTGCTTGGTGTTTGTCACAGGATGGAGATGTTGCACGTCCTCCTGGCATTTCTCTGTCTAAATAAAGTGATTCTCCAAGTTTAATCAGTTCCTTTGGTTCTTCACGTCCAGGGTGGCATCTTTACATGGGTCTGAGCCCCAGATACGACTCAAGAGGTGCCTGGTAGCAGCATCGACATCTGGATCTGATGGAAAATATCTTCATAATGGATCTGTGTGAAAATCTACTATAGAGCTCTCAAAAGTCCTGTTGCTTCTGACCTGCTGTTGGAGAAAACAAAACTCAGGAGTAAAACCAGTCCTGATCAGGCATCTGTAATTAAGCAGTGAACCCATGGCTAAAGTGAATGTAACATGAGTCAGGCCAAGCACCAACCAGCCAGGGAGCCTGTCTGTGACTATGACCAGGACCAAGTGCTTACAGAAATAGTGTCAGAAATAGAACAAGTATAAAGTGATCTTGTTATCATATATAGTTATCTTGATAATCGGAAAACCCTGGTTTTTTCCTTAGGATTCCCCCTCTAGACATTTGCCATCCCTGAGAGCCTGAGGCAGTAAGTTCCAGCATGAAAACAAAACAATGTCCCTTTTTTTTTATTATTAAAAAAAAAAACCAAACCTACCTCCAAATTATTTGCAGTCACAAGATCTCTGTAATTCTCTGTGTTATGACCTTGTCTCATTTAAAAGGTTGAGAGTCCTGGTATGTGCCTTGTTTGGTAAAGAACAGGAGACAGATTGGAAGAAGGGAGCAACTGCTACAGCCTGGAGAGACTGACACTGCTCTGCGGCGGAGGGCTTGTGCTGGACTCAGCAGGTAGCCATGTGAGAAGAATTAAGAAAGGGTGAGTGCTTTTGCATCTCAAATAGCTGAACAGGATCTCCAGTTTTGCTCTAACGAAACTCAGACACTTTTGCTTTTCAAGGTCAAAACTTTTACTCATTTTAACTACCACCTTTTGTTTTCCTGTGAATTCCTAACTTTCTGGATCTTTCTTGTGTTACTTCAGTGATATAGAAATCCCCCATGTTCTCATGACACAATTTATTCTTAGTTAACTAAGACAGGAGAGTATTCACCAGCATCCCTAGGTATCCGTATTTCAGGGTTGCCATGTATAGGCAATCCAGCAGCTAATGAGGTAGCTGTGTCTCATTATGCAGTGTATAACATGAATGTTGTAACAGCATTGAAATGGGAATTGGGCAGAAAGTTGAATAAGCCCTTGATTTTCTCAGTGATTTGACAATCTATTTGTTGTTCCTCCTAAAGAAAGATAAAAGCAATTGGGCACCCCTGTAGTTTTTGATAAAAGTCTAAACAGACTTTACTTGAGCCTCTACAGCAATAAATAGTGTTTTTCCCTGTCCTGGGGTGACATTTGCCACACAGAGCACAGCAAGAACAAATGATCTTGTGATGTTTTGACCAGTGACCCACCCGGCTGACAATCATAGCACAGTTTTTCACAAAGTCTTGTGTGAAGAAGCAAGGACCATGTCCAATGTTTCTGGAAGCTTCACCTCCCTAAATTACTGTGTTACCTATTCATCCTCCCAGGCACATGATGGGGCCATCCTGAGCAGCATGAAGGTCACAGAAAGGAAACTCTTGCTGGACTTCAAGGCATCATGGAAAAGAGAGAAAATAACCAGGGAACCAAGGAATGCAAATGGTTTGAGAGTCTCCCACCTTGGAGGCATTCAAAAGCCATCTGGATGTGGTCCTGAGCAATCAGCTCTAGGTGGCCGTGCTTGAGCAGGAGGTGTTGGTCAATATGACCTCCAGAGGTCCCTTCCAACCTCAACCTTCCTTTGATTCTGTTTTTTTGACCAGATCCAAAGTGGAAGGAAAGAGGGAAAAGCCTGTAGTGATTTTTTTTTTTTTTCTTTTTTAATGCTTAAGATAAATCATGAAAATACCATTACTATTCTTCTGCTTTTTCAGATGTCCAGAAAATAAGGTTTCAAGCAGACAAAGCAACTTTAAAGTTCTTTGTACCACTGTCCACAGAAAAATTGATGCTTTAGCCATGCTACTGCAGTAAGTCAGTAAATAAATTTGACTTTGTTTCCTAAGTGTTCAGATATTTAAATTAAAGGTTTGCTTGGTGTGTTAGCATGACATAGCATCTCTTATGTGTATTGAGATGACAGGAAACCACAAAGATTGCAAAAGCATGTTGAGTAAGTTGTCTGGCAGCCCAGCTGCAGAGTAGACAAGAGCAGGAAAATAGTGCACAAGGAAAGGAGTTGCTTAACTGGTGTGGAAGAGATTAGTTACATAAAGATCCAGGCATTTTCATAGACAGGTCACTACAAATGTCTCTTCAATCTACAGTAATGGTCAGTGCTGCGTGTAAGGTGTCAGGCTTTATTAAGGAAAAAAAATAGAGACTAATATGAAAGTATTATAATAATATTGTATAAATCAGGACCGTGTACCAGTCCTGACCTAAACATGGTTGTGTTATCTTAAAATAGGCATTGAGGAATTAGATAAATTCAGGAGAAAATAAAGAAATATGGCGAGATGTCTGAGGGCTGTGAATGGATTGGGTAGTAGTCTTAGAGAAAAGTGGATCTAAAAAGATCCCATCATTTGTTCCATTTGAAAGGTAAATAATAAGAAAACCAATGGAAGCTGCCTTCACACAAGAAGACTGAAAATCAGACCTCTCCTTCAGGATCTTTCATTCATAACCCAGGTACCATTCTAGGCACAATGACTGGCCATAGGTTTCCCGTTTCTTGATTTCTCCCATCCATGGGGTGAAGATGTCTGCCCAGCTCAGACATCTGAGCACTCTGGGTGGTGCTGGACCTGTGTCAAGGTTGTGCTTAATGTGGGGTCACTGGTGCCATGGAGAGCACTGGAATTACTCTTCTGGCAATGAGCTCCTCCTATGGAAGATGACAGATACATGGGACAGTCTTAAGTCCCTTTGCTGTTCCTCTGCCACCCTCCTTTGCTCACAGGACAAGTGTTGAAAAGAAGAGAATGGCTTCAGCCACCTTGGTGCCCCTGACTACAAGTAAATCTGCAATTATGAGGGTAGAAGGGATGGAGCCTGGGGAAGAGCTCCACTGCAGTAACAGCCTTGAGTTATTAGGTCCCAAAGGCCAATTAATGATAAATTAACAACTGCCTGCAATTTCTGCTACTGTGCAGCCATACAACAACCCCCAGATTTTTTTTAAAAGAAACCTTTGTGCACTGACTGGCACCCTTCAAGCACCCTTATCCATCTATAAAAGGTGCTCAACAGCTTTGAATGGAAATCTGATGACATAAGATATGGAAACGAATGTTATAATTCCCCTAGTGAGATCTGACCATCTCCAAGGAAAGGAGAAGCATTCACCCCCTTCTTGAGTGCTACTACATTTACTGTTACATGGTGGGCAGCTACTGCTGTCACTGCAGGAGGTAGGACAAGCACATCTGAACCTCTCTCCTGCTTGGAGCTTCTGGTACTTCTGGACATTGGAACAACATTTAATGGCGTGAGATGAGAAATAAGCTTTTTTGCCAGGACATACTGAAAGTAATGAGAAGTAAATGTCTTCTTTGCATATTGATACTCAAGAACTGAAATGTTTCTGTGGTCTGGCATTCAAACTGTTGGGATTTTTTTGTTTTCTTTCTTATTAGACAATTTTTGCACTTCAATCAGAGTAAAAATTTCTGAAAAAGCAGAAATAGATACTATCACCCAGATTATTTTGTTTTGTTTTGATTTGGTTCAGCTGTCTGGTTTTGTGCTAAACAATACCTAACAAAACCAAACTTTTCCAGTTACTTTTTTCTTCTGGACAGAAATGCACTGTCTGTGTGTGGCTATGGATGATCCTGCTCAGAGGAGACCTGCAGCTCCCACTCTGCTCACTTTTTCTCGCTGTAGGTGCTTTGGCCGGGCTGCGATGGCAGGAGGAGCTGGAGACCTGTCACCTTTCCACCAGCTCCCCTGGAGCAGTTTCACTGGAGGAAACAGTTCTTTCCCATGCAATATCTGAAACAGATCTTCAATTGAGTCATCCATGGAAAAACTGGGTAGCTCTGAGCTCTCTGAGAAATTTGTTTTTTCCAAAGCCTTTTGAGAGCAGTGGGGGTGGGCAACATGGATCGCTGCTGCCTCACCTGCGACCCTGCAGCAGACTTACTGCTGCTGGGAAAGTGGGGAAAAACAAAATGCAGCTTGGCAGCAACAGGCAGTTGCTTGAAGCTCTAGAAAATAGGAGATTTGAGCTAAAAGCTGAATCCACACATAATCTCTTTGAAGTAGTACAGTCAAATGAATGAGAACAATTAGTTTTGCACTATAAAGGATTTTAACACTCTTTACTAAAAAATAATAACTGTATAATATTAATAATGCCTTGCAATCTTGCAATGATTTCTTTTAGTGAACCTCAAAGAATTTGACAAACCAAACCAATGTTACTCCTTTTGAATAAAAACCGTTGCAGTTAGGTCTCAGAGTTCCCCTGCAAGAGCTGGGCTGTTAGATTTTGCACCAGGTGACTCCTAAGCTTGAGTACTGATGTGATCAACATGGATCATCAGATGAGCGTTTCTTTCTGGAGCTGATTGTCAGTGAGACTTAGTGAAAGTTTCTTGGAGTGTGTTTTTCTCCTGTTATTACTCTTGGTTTTCTTCCTAGTGTGTCAAACCAGATTTAGGCTAAAATTCAGGGAGCTTTCCCCACAGTGAACCCCAAAATAAAAGACCATATGAGGATGGATTCATTCATATTTGCAAGTTGCTTGTAATTCAGCATGGTGAGGGGGCACATAAGACATTTAATTAGATCATCTTTGTAGACAACAACTTCATTTTTAGGGGTATCTTGTGAATTCGAGACCAGCAGATCCTTCAGGTTGCTGATTTTTGGAGTTGGCAGAAACTTACTAATGTCTGTTTTTCACTTTTCAGGATTATTTTTAACTTGCCATCCCTGGACATCTTTTCCATGTTCTGCTCAGCCTTCTCTAGAGCATCACTAGCAGTGAGATAAATGGAAAGCGACTGATATTACTAAATTGTTGTAATCAGGAGAAAAATCCCAGGCTTCCTCACTCCAACAGTTGGGCTTTTGTCCAGCTGGTGGAAAGCTCTAGCTGCTTGTTAATGCCTTTGCTTATTTTTCTGGTCCAGTCTCATAATAGAGAGCCGGTGGAGCTGGCACGGGACACAAGGGCCTAGGAAGTGCATTCACAATGTTTAGTTAAAGCACATATTGTCAAGAATATACAATCTCTATGTGCTCAGAAGAGAGTTCTCCTGATGATGGTCACTGAGCTGAGGTTTTGTTTCATTCAAAGTGAAATCCAAAGGGATAAGTGAGGTATCTGTGGAATATTTTTTTAAAGGCTGAGCTTCCTGGGCAGGGAATATGGGTCAGAAGCAGCGATGTCCATTGTAAACAAATGTAGAATTAAGCTGATCTTATACCACAGCCTTAAGTGCTAAATGGTCAGTAAAGTCTGTGTACCTGAAGAGCATACCCAGAATGGGACACATAACCATCAGCCAGCCTCTGAAAAACTGGAAGAGCCATGGAGGACACTGAAACTGCACTTTGCTTTATGTCTGTAGCTGAAGGGGGCCACGACAAAGGAAACTTTCAGAAGGTTGCCTCACTTTTTACTGTGATGGATTCTGAAGCATCTTTATTACAATGTTTTGGGGAAGAAGAGCATTGCTAATCCGAGTATGTTCATGCCTAGCAAGGCTGTCTGAGATCATCATCTGACAGCGGTATGTTGTTGTAGGCGCACTGGAAGCAGGGAGCCACGTCCCAAAGGACAGATGCTCCAAGCAGAAAGGAGAGCTAGTGAAGCTGGATTAAATTTACCCTGACAACTTCTGGCCAGCTCTGCCCAAAAGGAAGTTGAGCTTTTTTTTCAAGAAGAGTTGGGAGGTGGAAACCTGCCACCTTTGACAATTAACCCTCACTTGTCCCCACACTATCAAGGCACAGAGACCTTTCCTCCTTTTCTGATTTTTCCAGCCACTCCATGATGAGTCACAAGAAAGAAGGAGCTTTCAGGAAACAGATAATTTGCTTACCTTATTAAAATTGGGAGACCTCACCCTGGCCCCTTCTGAGTCACTAAAAGCCCGGCTGATGGCAAACTGGATAGCCAGACCAGTCATAGTCCCAGTGGAGAGCGGCTCTATCCTTCGGACGGCTTGCAGGAGCCCGGCTTTGGTTTGGTAGGTCTTGAGGGAGAACTCATTCTTGACGGCACTGGCATAATTGATCACACCCACCCGGGTGGAGTTGGGGCCCACGTCCAGACCCTCGATCACCTGGGACATGAAGACTTTGACTTTCTCAAACTCGTGTGGGCGCACGCTTCGAGAGCTGTCAATGATGAACACCAGGTCCGTAGGTTTGGTTCTACACAGGGTGCCTGGAAAGGATAAGGAGGGAGGAGAAAAATAAAAGAAAAAGAAAAGTATCCTAAGAGGGAAACAATGGTCTTGTTAGAGTAGCAGCTGAGGGTAGAGGACCTGCAGGCTTCAATCCTTTCTCTGCCTGTCTCAGAGAGGCCCAGTGAGACCACTTTAACCTAATATTTCTAAATGTTCTTTTTCCTTTCATAGGAAAGCATCTGTATGAAAAGCACAGTTACCAGTTGACAACATGTACTTCTGTGGGAGTGAGCTGATGAGATACCAGCTCTGCACTTGTGGGAGCAGGTTACCCACTTGTCACCCCAGGCTATTACTAATGTCTACATGAAACTTAATTCACTTATGGCAGCAGGGAGGGAGGAGTAAAGCTGTGAACTGAAGCCTGTGCATGCACTTCTGCATCAAACAAAGCCTCAAAAGGAGTTATCACGTTTTGGACATGGTGAAGCAATCCACATGGAAATTAATTAATGAGATTATACCTTCGTCATGCATGACCAGAAGCAGGCATGTTCAGATTCAGCTGTGAATCAAGATGCCCAGATTAACTATCTAACATACCACGAACCAGTCTCATGATTTTTAGCTAGTGGCACTAATAATGAAATAATGTAACACAGAAAAGACCAGTGCTGTTTTATTTCTGTGAGCTGGTGAGGGAGAATACAATAGAGAGATGTAGAACCATGTAATTGATAGTTAATCTCTATAACCTCATAGTAAGACATGAATATCCACTGTAGAAAGTAAATGGTATAAACAGGAAACATTAGCAATGCAAAGAGCTGAGATCCTTTTTTTTTCTTTTTTAAAGTTCTCATTTTCATGCTGTTTTCCATCTTAATTTTCAACTGTGCCAAAACATAAAAAGGACTGATATTTTTTATGATTTTCTAAATGAATTGTCCCATTTTCCCCACCAGATCGATAGCATTCTGTTCTTTTAACTTTTTTCTATCATTTAGTTTGTCTCTGTAGGGGCATCAAGTGCTCTTAATATTTGATTTTTGCAGAGAGGGACCATATAGGTTATATCATAAAGGAGATTTCTGTGGACAGATTTTTAAATGTGAGCTTTTGGGCCAACAAATCTGTTCCAAATTATGACATAAATATTATAGCTAGTCCTCGGTGTGAAATCTAATGGAGCTTTCAGTCTTTCAGACAGATGAAAATAAATACCCTGTGATATATCCATAAAGAATATAATCAGGTTAGTTTCCTGAGAGACACTAATGTTGAATCTGTTTTTGGCTCTCAGAAAGGTCTCTAAAAGATGTTGTGTGCAGAAGGGAAGCAGGCAGTGGTTACTTTGTCAGATGCTCTAGTTTCCACTAAAATTCAATATAACCTTTTCCCATATGGGTGATTTCACTTTGCCACCATAATTCATTACAGAGGAAGGAAAAACTCAGTTGGTAGTCCATCTACAGTATTGAAAATCCCTTTACTAAGGGTTGGTTATGCCCATTTTACAGATGAGAAATTAAGGTACAGAGAAAGACTTAAAGTCTTGCAATCAGTTCCTCCAGAAATAAAGTTCAAGTCCTCCTTTGCTGCTGTAGCTAATGAATCACCTCTGTTTTTAGTGACAAACCAAGGAAGAAAAGTTATTTTTTTTCCCTAGTAACAGTTGGATCCAATAGAAGTTTTGAAGTATACTTTCTTTTTTACGTGGAAGCTCTGTGATTTTTCCCTAAATATAATTTTTAACCTCTTTTTATGAGAGTGAGGTATATTTCATGGAAATGAAAAGAAAAGAAGCGATATCAGATGGCAGCTTCAGGATTTTGGCCTCTGTGATCACAGCCACGGTGCACATGTCAGGGTCTGCAGGACAGGCCTTGGTTATCTCCAGGAGGTGACAGTCAGGCACGTTTGCTCTGATTGACACCTTGACTCAGCATAGTTTATTTTAAAGTTGAATTAAACCAGAAATAAAATCCTCCTCTATTTTTAAAAATGTCCACACTTGAAGCTATTCAGGAATAGCTGAACCTCATGCACTGATTTAGAAGAAAATATCTCTTCGAGCACCTTTGCCATATTAATTAAAAGAACAGGAAACCTGCCTAGTAACTCAGAATTAAAAGATGTCTATTTTAGAAATAGCAATTGCTCACAGTAGGGCTGAGTTGAATGACCGGTCTGTTTAGTTTCCTGACTTTGACAGTGCTTAGTGGTTCTGCAGCAAAGATAACTCTCCCTTTCCAAATTACTAAGGAGAAACGGGTCAGTATATCAGAAAAACTCCCCCTCATAAGCAACAGCTAACACTGCCGTGACTGTCACGCCTATTTTACAATTGTCAGTCTCTCCAAGTATAGGCATTATGCATCATCATAAGATCATTCAAAGGTTTTTAAAACCCAGCATAAATTTTTTGCCTTGGCCACCTCTCCTGTGGTGAGTTCCCCAGTTGGCTGGAGCCCCGTGGCAGCATCCTGCCCTGGCAGAGGTGAGATGCTTCCTCCTACCAGACCCTCCAGCCCTTTCCTTTGTGTTTGGTACTTGCTGACACTAATTGCAGACTAGGACTTAGAGATTGTACAACCTAGAGAGCAGGCAGCGCATCTCTCATCTGGCTGCTCTACGGTCCACTTGGAAAGACAAACAGAGCAGGATTTTGCTCAAGAACAGAAGAAGTAAAACCTAGGAAAGGCCCGTCCTCAGCAACCTGTCTCAGACCTTCCTGCTAGGTGAGGTTAACCACAGCTTGGGGTGTCTGGCCAACTCCTTGAGCTCCCGAACAAAACCAGCCCTCTGCAGAGCTGCGGAGAGGTGTAGCAGTTTTGGAAGGCAGAGGAGAGCCCTTCTCCTGCCTGGGCCTCCTCCAGCCAAAAGCAGCGAGCCCCAAGGCTGCTGCTACGCTGGGGTTGGGGCTGACCTGATGCCACCTTTGCTGTGCCTCTGTACAGACCTCCCACTATTTCTCTAAAGCAATGTAACAGGCAGAAGCAAACACATCTCCAGGTTTTGCTGCCTTGGGAAAATATTTGAAAAAGCTCCTTTGCTTCCCTGGTTGATGTTGGGTATTTCTTCTTCCTTCATCTCCTTCCCAGACCCAAAGCAGGCTGGTGGCAAGGAGGCAGAGGACTGACACCATGCATCCCACCACTGAGCTCCCCGCTTACTTACCTCTCGGCTGTGGAGGTGCCCCGCAAACTCCATAGCTCTGGAGGAGGAGCAGCAAAGAGAGCAGCAAGGTGGAGAAAATCCTGTCCATGGCTGTGGAGGAGCCGAAGGCTGGATGCAGAGTGGCAAGCAAGAGCCTTGGCCCAGAGGTATTAACCTGCCCTTCCTCGGGGAGGCATGGGGCCAGCCCCTGACACGTGTGAAATGCCGGGGGGGCACCGAGGGGAGAGGGACAAGCAAGCAGGACTAGGAGAAAATATTGCATGAAGGTGGGGAGGGGGGAGGATGTCCAGCTCTGCCGGCCCCTATCCTCTCCACAATGGCTTCATTGCTCGGGGAAGGGATGGGAAGCTATAAAGAGACCCGAAATGGTGTGGTATGTGGGGAATCCGGGACCGTAACAGTGGGACCAGTGAAACCAGCCCTGGGGAACCAGGGTTAACCTGTCAATCACCGGCTCCCGTCTGCAAAGCCTGGCCTTTGCCGCGGTAAGCAAACGCTCTGCGGTGTGTCAGGCTCGTGTCCTTCCTCCGGCAAAGCCCAGGGAGGCGGTGGTGGTGGGAGGGGGGGGACCGGGAATAGCGTCACACAAATCATCTCTCAGTCCCCTCGTTTGCCAAGTGCAGGGCTGGAAACCAGCCTGTGGGATCAGGGGGCTTCACTTCCTTGGCTTAATTTGTGGGCAAATGCTCCGTTGCAGGAGGAGGGGAGAGGAAGAGGAGAGCAAGGCTTGGGGAGGCACGGGCGAAAGCACAGGATGCAGAACAAATTTCTTCCTACGGGAAACAGTTACTTCTCTGTGAGGCTGTGCGGGACAACGGGGAGGGAAAGCCAGAACTCAGTAGCCTAAACTAGATAAATAGACAAGAAACTCAGGATAGACAGACAGATTAGAAGTTTGATTTATTTTTTAGAGTGTAGCTTTCAGGTCTGCACACACAGGGGAGATACAGCTTCTGCCACAAAAAGCCAATAATCTAAATCAACAAATAAGACTGATGATGCTGCAAGTGAGCAGAAATCCAATGTTTTCTTTATGGAAGAGCAGCAGGGAGATTTGGTACCAGAGTAAGATGAATTTAATAATGGGTTCATCACAAAGCAGTGCATCTATTTTCTCTTTTTTAACTACTGTATTACACTATTGTCAGTTGATTAAAGCCCTTCTCTGAGGGATTAGTCTTTGCTCACCTTTCCAGCCGCACACCCCTGGAGCACTCATCCATTTAATCTGCATTGTGTTAGTGCAGTGCCATGGCAAACCACCTTTAATTCAAAGCCCAGTTTCTCTTCCCTTATCCAGAGTCACTCTTTACTCCAAAAGTGCTGCAACAGAGACCAAGAGCTCCTGTGGAGAAAGACTTTTTGATTAGGAAAAACAGGACCTGTCCTTAGTGAAGTTGCCAGGCTATTCTTAATTCTTTCAACTTTAAAAATGTTAATTAAAATATTAAGAGATGTCTATGTTCTCATGCAAAATCAACATGGATTTGTCCCACTGCTATCTTCCCAGGTACACACCCTTAATCACAGGCTTTCCACCATCTCTGGAGCTAGCTGGAAATTTTTAGCCAGAGGGATCAAACGCTCCAGATGCAGAAATATGTACACATGCATGCACATAGATGTGATTACATGTATGTGTTTATGTATATAAATATGCATGTGTGCACACACATGCAGACACATAACTCTCCTCCATGCATGCTTTTCATGGATGCATTTATATATGCATGGATTTTGATGAGTGCTAATATGCATAAATACTATTCACCAATATCCCTGTGTGCTCGCATGCACACAGGTATGTTTGCTCCCCAAATATATAGAACAGCTACAGCCATACATTTGTGACTATTTGGGAACAAAGTGAAATAAAAGCATAAAATCCAGGAGATTTTACCTCCAGCCCTGTCTACGACGGGGTTTCTCCTGTTGCTCTGCCATGCGTACAAGGATCTATTGGTGCAGACAGTACTCGCTTGCCATGAATAGGGATCATTCAGAGCCGTCCGTAAATGAAGTCTCTATGGCTGTTCTTGCTGAGGAAAATATAAAGTTTCTCTGTGTCATTTTGCTGTTAATTAGCAAAGAAAGGTAAATACATTTCAGGTGAATATTTTCACTAGCAGAGGTTGTGGCGCACAAGCAACATTAAAGCTTTGAAAATAAGGTGAGAGGCAAAGGTGTGCTGGATACTATAGGTCTGCATTTATACCTCTGTAAAAGCAGTGTTTATTTTTAAAATATGAAACATAATTTTTCCCCAGGCCTCCAAAAATGAAAACACTGGATTCAATATTTCAAGAGGAAAATATGCATTTAAAGCTCTTCCCAAGCCTGCTTGCAACGTAAACAGACAAACCATTAACGGCTCACGCTGGCCGCAGAGCAGCCCTGCCATTCTGCAGAGCCGCTATTGTAGGCTTCACGTGTCCTGGCACAAGGAAGGGCTGCTCTCCCTCCAACACATTAATGTTCATGTCTCCTTACTAAAAAAGTGCTTGTTTTAAATACCAGATCCCCTCTTCCCTTCCACTGCTGGATGGTTAGCAGAGGATCCTGGTCCCATGTTGCTCCTGCTGAAATCAAATGCTTCAGGCTGATGGGAAGTTATGGCATACAGCCAGGGAGGTTTTTTCCTCAAACAGAAGTCTCATTGTATTATTATCTGAGTGCAGATGGAGGAGAAAAGGCATGTGGATGCTTTGTATTAAGGCAAAGAAGGCAATAGTGAAAGACAACACCTGCACCTGTATGGGTTTTTCTGACCTGGGTTTGCACCCCAGTCCCTTGCTCTCCACACCTCTGTTCAGATTATGACCATCGGGTCTATTCTCAGGATGGAGGTGACACATAAAATCTTTTGGAAAACTCTCCAATACATGGTGGGATGTTCTGCTGTGCTCCACCAGCACTATGGATAGAAGCAACCCCTGTGCTCCCACCAGTGGCTGGGCAGAGGGGCTGGAGCTGCTGGGCCACCTTGTCACTGGTGTGAGCCCACGGCTGCTGATGCTCGTTGTCGGCCAGTTCGGATGGATGAGCTTGGCTGCACTAAGCTTGTCTGCAGCGTCTGGATGTCACAGCACGGATGAGACACATTTAATGACATGGCAGCGTGAAGCTCACTGTCAGAGTCCTTAAACTGCTGGGAGACTTCAGCTGGAAAATAATAATATTGTAAGTGCTTAGCAGGGCTAGAAAGCCTTTGCGCTGCCCTAAAACCAACATGGCCTAACTGCAGCCAAGGCTTCTGCCTGCAGGTGAATGAGACTGAATTAAAATAAACAGCTCTCCAAAGGCAGCCAGGTCCAGTAGAAGACTCCAGCGTGAAGTGAGGAGATGCAGCTTGTCCTCCCCAGCATGACCAGTCAGGGAAGCATCATCCTCTGCACCCAGGCAAGAGAGGCTTTTCTTTGGTGGCTGGTGCCTCAAGGGCCTGGGCGATGCCCCAGACTTATTCATGGTTTTCTCACTGCTGCATGCTCCTTCCAATCCGCCCTTGTTTTTCTAACAACCTTTTCCTGGTTTGTAAGATCCCGATGCTAAAACATCACTCTGCTGGATGCCTTCATTCTTTAGATTGTCAAATCTTCCAGCTTTGGGATGGGACAGGAAAGAGCAAAGCCCAGTTTAAGAATAAGTACTAAAAGTACTAAAAACCAAACACATACTAATGCAGCTGAGAGAGGTGGTAACTTCTCATTTGTTATAAGACAAGTAAACTATATAAATGCAGATTCTTTCTCCATCACTATATGCATAACATTTCACAGGAATGTAGATCAGATGGGAAAAGCCAAGAGAAATGACATTTTATTTTCAATAGTGCAGACATGCTTTGTTTTGATTTGGCATTTTACTTTTCCAATTTGTTTTGCTCAAGTTTTATTTTAAAACAGTAGTTTAGTTTTATATTTACATATTTCCAATAAACATACCATTATTACATTTAATATCTCAGTATAAATTTCACACTGCAACAAACCAAAATGATAAAATCAAAATGAAACTGTCCCTAAGGCACTTCCATGTAAATGATCTAGAACAATGTGACTTTTTTCTGTGGGGAAAAATGGAAATCAGACTTCAGGGATCTCAAGACATTTCCAAACTGCCAATAGAGTTCAAGCAGAATGTATTTAAAATATTGGATTTTTCCTTAAAAAAAAAGCACAATGTTTGTGCCCCTCGACCATAAATACTACTTAGAAGTGATCTGGAGATGTGGCTAAGTCATGATAGCTGAGGCAGCAGAGCAAGAAGTGGGTTGGGAAGGGAAAAGCAGCCAAATCCTGAGTAGTTGACTGTTGTTTTTTATTTCATTCTAAACAAACTTGTTAGTTGTAGTAAACACAGCTTTCTTGCCCTTCAGCCACAAGAAAACACAAAGGTTTAGCAAAATGCTCAGTAATTTTTTTGCCTTTTTCAGGCTTCCTTTGATGTTCCCACGTGAGTGTTTTGGGGCTGGATTTACAGCCTCCATTTTTCAAGTACTCAGAGAAATGGTAACAAAAGCTGCCATGTAGTGAAAACTCCAATTCTTGTATTTTATCCCCACGGTCCTTCTATTTCAGTTTGTTACAGAGAGTGGAGGAGTCCCAGCCTGGTTCTTTACCAGAAAGGATATTTACTGCACCGCCACTGTACTGCAAAAATGATATTTTACAGCAGTGGGATCAGTGCGAAGCATAAAACAAATGAAGTAAAGGGTGAAAGACCGGGGAGAAATGAATGGCTTTAAATATAACCCTTTCAACAACTCAGGATCAAAAGAACTGCTGTTTATCCTTTAAGTTGCAAATGGCTGGCAAATATCCTTGTGTTCTGATGCTGTAAATAGTAAATGCTGTTTATGGCTAGCCAATGTTTATGTATTTTATGGGTCACATTTATTTCAGAGGGATCATTTTTTATTTGCTATGTTAACCTTGCCCACATCTTCCCCCTGGGACCAAGCTGCCTCCTGGGCACTATTCCTGGCTCTCCTGATGACCACCTGCAAATCTTCGGGCAGCTCTTGTCCTCCCTCCATGCCTTGGCTTCTCCACCTGTACAGTGCCACCAGCAGTGATGGCCCAGCCCAGAAGTCCCTAGGTTCTGTCTGTCCTAATAAACTGCTTGAGTGAAACTGCAGTAT